TCTGGGAAGAGGGAGGAGACAGGCTTCTGCCCAGAGGGAAACTTAGCAAGGTAGGGGTACCTCTTCTCCAAGTAAATGGGTAACAAGAAATAACCGGAATGAACCACAAAGAAAGACAGCAGGTGTGGGAGAGTGGGTGGGTTTGCTGACGCCCACTTGAAGGCTGAAGGCTTCCAGTTCTGGGTGAAACAACAGCCAGCCAGGTGTGGAGGTGCACAACCATAATCCCAGCACTCAGGAGACAGAGGCAGGAGGACTGCAAGTTTAAGGCCAGCCTGGGCAACTTAGTGAGAGTCCTTGTCTCAAAAACACAAAGCAGGAGGCAGAGTCTCTGCTGAGAGTGAGAAACAGGGCGACAGAGTCGAGATTTGGGGGTACAGCTTGGAAAAGGCCCTAGAAAGCCGCCTCACTACTTTTGGCATTGGTTCCATGAGCTCTTGATGCGGCAGCGTCAGTACCAAAGCCCAGAATCGGGCACTCTGCCCTCACCCCACAAGCCCGGATCCATGAGGGCTTCTCTCAGGGTGGACTCCCACTGCCCACATGGAGAAGCCTGATGGAGCCCAGTGAGGCCAGCATACATTACAGACAGGGCAAACACAAGCCCAAACTGACAGGCCCCAAGTGGTAGACGGCCCAAGGGGAGCTAGGTCATCACCAGAGAGAAATTCATGAGATCTAGGGCAGGTTTAGTGCAGCAGGCTAACCCTAAACCAAGAACTCCCTTTCCCTAGGCTGGTGCCTTCTCCTGACTCTGTTTTGCTCTCTGCCTGCAGGGCTGGCCAACCCTTCAGGATGGGCACAGTTTTCCTTTAGACAGACTAGGGAATTCAAACTGAAGTCCCTCCTGTACCTTCAGGAAGGTGCCTTTGTCTATCTCTGAGCTAATCTATCCTCAGTGAGTTCCAACCCAGCCCCTAGTGCCAGTAACATTTCCCAGCCTGGAACTGAACAGAGCTGGCACTAGCAGGAGCCCCTGGGGACTGAACCTGTCCTGCTCAAGGCTGCAGGGCAGAAGAGTGCAAGTCTTTTCTATAAAAGGGACTGCCAGTGAGTACTTTAGGCTTTGCAGGTCTGACATTTCTGATGCAGCTACTCAACTCCTAGGTACCATATCAAAGCAGCCACAGATAATATGTAAACGAACATGTGTGGCTGTATTCCAACCCTACTTGATTCACAAAAACAAGATGGGTGTGGTCGCACACACGCTTATTATAATCCCAGCACTCCTCCGGAGGCTGAAGCAGGATTACTAAAAGTTCGAGGCCAGCCTGGGCTACATAGTTCAAAACCAACCCAAACTATATAGCAAGATCCTACCTCAAAAAGCCATAAATAAATAAATAGCCTGGATTTGTTTCCCTCCTCTCTCTCCTCCCTATCTGCACAGTACAAGTATCTGCCCCCCTCTTGGCTCCAACCAAGCACACAGCGAGCGCTAAGTATTCGTCAAGGACTGGGAATCTGAGGGCTTCCCTCCCAAGTCTATCACGACATCCTGGTCTATACCAACTCCCGTCCCTTTCCAGTACAGCACTGGAAGGAGCCGACTGGGAGGAGGTAAGTGGGGAGGCCAGATGGGAGCAGGAGGGCGAACTGATACAGAGGAATGGAGCATTCCAGGACTAAAGCCCTCTGGCCAAGGCCAAGAGCTTGCTCCAGTTAATAAAGGCTGGGGGGCTGAGGACGTAGCTCCTGGTGAAGCCCTAGGTTTGATGATCACCACCACCTACTACCACTGCCCGCCTCCCCCACTGTGCTTTGGAAAAAGAAAAATGGTTGAATATTCTCCTCCACAGAGAGGGGCCCAGAAGCCTGTGCTCCAACTGGGAGCCTAGAGCTGAGCCTGAGACTCCCAGGGAATTAAGCATGGGTTTCCAGCTTTCTGGAGACAGGACCCCTGCTCCCATCTCTCCCGTCCCCTCTTGAACCTTACTCAGAGCAGGGGCTCAATAGCTGCCCACTCAGTTCCTAGCGTGTCTCTGTGGTTGTCCAATTTCAGGTTCGATCTTCCTCTTTATACTTTTCCCATCTTCCAACTTTTCTATTAGAAACAACAAAGTCAAAATCTTTGTGAGAACAAAACCAGAAAGTTAATGACCCAGTGAGAGGACTCCATCTGCCTCGGAGTTTGTTTTTCCCTGCTCCTCAGAGAACCCTCTTTGTAGTAGTAAGGTAGACCTCTTCTTGTGAGAAAGGGCCCCCCCCCCCCGGCCAGTTCTGTTCCCTGCAGGATAGCTGTTGTTTGTCTTTGGACTTCTACGAAGCGATTAATATCCTATTCGTGGAAGCAAATAATTAAGGCTATTTACAGAATCTTTGTGTGGGCTCCAGACTTGCTGAGAACATTTCCAGCCACTTGGCCCTGGTGAGGATGCAGTGGGGGCTCCTGGGTCTACACACACTTGCTTCTGCTTTCAAAATCCTTGACCTGGAACCCTCCAGCCCCACTTCGGAACAGTATGGAGAGAAGAAAAACACGACTGTCTTCTAAAATGCAACATTCTAAAAAGTGATCTCCATGTATCCAAAATAATGACAGCCTTGTCAAGAACCCTTCCCAAGTTAGGCAGAAAAACGCTGCTGTGTCAGTAACTTTGGCTAGTTTAAACATTTCTCCTGGGTCAAATAGAAGACACAATTGACACAGTGTACGTTTCAAGCATAGGGACCCCTGGGCTGCCCCCAGGCACAGGGGATGTAAGCTAGCAAGTACCTAGCAGGTGAGAGGCCCTGGGTTCAAATCTACCACTAAAAAAACACTCTGGCAAGGACCAGGACACGGCCATCATGGTGTCCTGGAAATTACCGCAGCGAACAGAAGGTAGTGAGCACGTGTTTGCTGGGTGCAGTTGCTAACAGGGCTCCTTGTAGACTAGGTAAGTGAACTAAGATGGGGGTGGTAGGAAAACTTGCTTTTAATCTTTCATTGTGTATGAATTTTTACTTTTATTTTGTGAAGGGCTCATTCAAAAATAAACATTATATAACTAAAATAGCTAAAATAACCTAATTTGTTATATCAAAATAGTAATTCTGTCGTTTTATTTAAATACATGTAGTTTTATGGACTTTGTTTTGGTTTTTTGTTTTGTTTTTTGAGACAAGGTTTCTCTATGTAGTCCTGTCTGGTCTCAAACTTGTGATCCTCCTGCCTCAGCCTCCCTAGTGCTGGGATTACGCATGTGTTACTATGCCTGGCTTTATTTAAATGTATGTAGGTTTTAAAAGCTTGTTCTCAAGCCGGGCATGGTGGCACATACCTGTAATTCTTGCACTTGGGAAGAGGCAGAAGGAGCTGGCCTTTAACTCTACATATCCCAGGCTGGCCTCGAACTTATGGCAATCCTCCTGCCTCCGCTTCTCAGGTGCTGAAATTACAGGTATGCACTACCATGCCCGGCTAAAAATCTTGTTCTGAAAACCCAAACAAGTTACATTTCTGTTGTCTTAGGGAATGACTTAAGTGACACCGTTAAAGTAAAAATAATCATTGTAAACATTTATTTAGCACTTCTCAGGTGGCAGGGAACATCCTAAGTGCTTTATATGTGTTATCTCATTTAGTCCTAGCAGGTTTAAGTGAGGTAGGAAGGCTATCCCACTTCACAGATGGAGAAGCTGAAGCACAAAGAGAAACCGAGGCAGCACGTCAGCTAAAAGGCAGTGCACGAAACTGTCTGACCTAGAAGCAGGGATGGGGTGTTAGCCCTTGTTTCTCTTCATCCCAACTACTACTGCAGAACTGGAAACACACCCAATCCTTATGCCAGCAGCTGGTTTAACAGATTGCCATCTGAAGAAAGTTCAACAGGTAAATATTTAATGAAGGAACCAATACAAGCATCTCAGGGAAGCTCAGCCTGCCTCTTCCAAAAAGGGAAAGGGTGGGGGTGGGGAGTTGTCCCTGGTGACCAGAGGGGATCTGACGGGGGCAGAGCGGGTCCCCTGGATCTCCTTATCTGCTGTCCCAGTGGGAGGGCCTCATGCTCTCAACTACCTGCTTGAGCCAGGACACTTGTCTGTCTGGGCCATCAGAACCTTGAACAAAGCCTGGTACTTAGTAAGTGCTCAACAGGCAACTGGGCTGAATGAACAGAAGGGCTCAGCCCCGGGCCTGAGGCCCTGCGGCCATGTCAGTCCCAGCAGTCCCAGCTCCCTGAGTCAGAAACCTGGAGCCACCCTAGGAAGGCAGTCCCCCATCCAGCCTGTGGCACCTGTGGCCCAGTGCACAGGGACCCATACATGTATCAGAATGACTCACCCCACCTACAAAGAGGCAGCCACCCCCACGGCCATCTGCTGGACTCAGCTGATCTGTGACTCAGCTGATATGCAGATGTATCCCAAAAGCCCCAAAGATAGGCCCACTGGGATCCCAGCACGGTGGTCCTGCCCTGACTCACACAAGCCAAGAGTCTTTTATCAAGAGAAAATAGTCACTGTCTCACTTGTGCAATTAAAAGATTAAAAACAAAGCCAGTGCTGGGTGTGGTGGCACACGCCTATAATCCCAGCACTCTGGAGGCTGAGGCCCGAGGACTGCTGTGAGCTCAAGGCCAACAACCTGGGCTACAGAGTGAGTTCAAGGCCAGCCTGAACTACACAGTGAGAGCCTGTCTCAAAAAAACAAAAATCAAAGAAACAACAACAACAGAACCAAAGTAAGGGAACCCTTTACGTTTCACAGGTCTGGAATGGCAGGGCAATGATGCTATTTTTTTTCCAGAAAACTGAGCTTTTGGGGAGGTACACATCGGACAGCGCTTGCCATACAGATCAGGCGCCCATGGCTAAGCATTTGTGTAGGTTTTCTTTGTGGTTTCTGGGGTGCAAGCCTCAGAGAGTCCTTGCCTGGAGTCCCAGACATGAGGACCCCTGAGGCATAAGAAGGGGCCCTTGGAACCTTTGCTCCCAGGGTCACAGACCTGGCCGCTCCCTGGAAAGTCAGGCGTCCCCACCCGGCCCGACCCAGGCCTGCGCTGCCCACCACTCACCTTGGATGGTTCTCTTGAAGAAGGCCTTGCAGGCCTCGCAGGAGGCCACGCCATAGTGGTAGCCAGAGGCAATGTCCCCGCACACGAGGCACAGGCGCTTGGGGATGGCGTTGAGCATGTACTCGCACTTGATGGCCGAGTCCTCCATGATGCCGCTGCCACAGTCCTCGTAGCTCTTGCGGCACGGGGTGCCTCCCAGCCCCGCGCCTGGGAACATAGGCGGCGAGTCCAGCCCGTTGGCGTGGGTGCCCAGGGCCAGGCCAAAGCCGCCGCTGGCGTCCGACGAGCCGCTGGGGCTGTGGTGGCTGAGGGCATCAATGCCCGAGGATGGGCTGGACGGCTCGGTCTTGATGAAGGAGCCACAGCTGGAGCCCAGGTGCCGGTCGTCTGCGGACATCCTGTTCAGCAGCCTGTGGACACAGGGCAGGGTCAGTGGGTGGGGCGGGGCGGGGCGGAACGCCGGGGGCGGGCGCTAGAGGGGCGGGGCTCTAGCCCAGAAAGCCAAGTGGTACAACCCAGAGCAAGCTTCTGCCATCACCCCCAGAACTCCCTGAGTCCTCAAATACACTGTTTTGATCAGGCACCCTCCAACTTTGTGAACTACTGGCTTGAAGGTGTCACCAGATGCTAACGATTCAGGCTAAATGTTGGCCATCATAAACTGGGTATGGTGGGGCACACCTGTAACGCCAGCACTTTGGAAAGCTGAAGCAAGAGGTTCACAAGTTTGAGTACCACCTGCGCAACTAATGAGACTGTCTCAAAATAAAAAGGGCTGGAGATGTAGCTCAGTGCCAAGGGCCTGGGCTCAAATCCCCAGTATGGCGGTGGGAGGGAGAGACTGGCCAACCTTCCTGCCCAACAATACAGTACATAGGGCTGAGGATTTAGCTCAGTGATTCTGCCACCTGCCTGGAAATCGCAAGGTCCCGAGTTCGATCCCAGGTACCAAAAAAAAAAAAAAAGGCAGTACAAATTGGTTACAATTTAACTGTCCCAGTGTGCGAAGCCCTGGATCAGGCATTCTTGGTAGGACATAATAACCCATTTCTCAGGGTCCTTCCTACATGACGGTGGCCGCTTTATGAAACAAGCCAAGTTTGTGCTTCCCTCGGTCCCTTAATGTCACCAAAACCAGAACTGGGGTGCTAAGGCATCTGGTCAGGGCAAGAGGGGCAGCCTGAGGCAGAGGCACCAGCCAGAGTGGCTGCCCTCTGGGTTTTGCCTCTGGTCCAGACTTGGTAATGGAGGGCACATCCGGAAGGAGGCTCCCTGACCCCCTCTCTCCATTTCTAATCCTGCTGCCTCAGCCTCCTGAGTACCTGGCAACTGTAGGTATGTGCAACTATGCCCAGACCCCAACTATTTTTAGCCTAAAGTTTTGTTTGTTTTTCAGTACTAGGGATCAAACTCAGGGCCTGGTGCATGTTGGGCAAGTGCTCTGCCACTGGGCCACACCCCCGCCCTTATGCTGGAGCTTAAACTCAAAGACTCCCTGCTTCACCAGCAGGCCAGGAGCCTTCCCAATATGGCAGGACCACTGCATGATAACAACGTTTCTGACAACTGAAATCCGCTCCTCTCCAAGCCTCCCAGGCCGAGGACAGGAGGACAAGGGTGTGCTCCTCCCACAACCCAGCTTCCAGAAGGAGTGTGGACCTTCCCTCCCTGGGCAGGGACTCAAAGCCTCTGGGCTCACAGCGGGAGATGAAGGTGTGTGCTCGAAGGAGCCCAGCTGCAGAACACCTCACCGGTGAGACTGGGATCTGAGTGAGGAAGCCAGGGCTGGTCTGTCGGATCCAGGGCTGGGCTGTGTGACCTGGACAGGTGGCCCCACTGTCTGAGCCTCTCTGTGGAGCCAAGAGGGAGTGATGCCTGACACCTGAGGGGCACGTGTCCGAGAACACAGAAGGTGGACATGCTGCTAGCAGAGCCTTGTTGATGAAGACTCCCGGGCAGGAAGGAGGGGCTCAGTGATGCCCAGAGGCAGTGCTACTTTGCCTGGTAGCCCCCCTTTCTGAGCAGCCCCAAAATGAAAAGACTGGCCACTCCCTAGGGAAGGGGCTGCCTCATTACCCCACAGAGCCACCCCTCATCACTGTCCTTGGCCACACACCAAACCAGCCCTCAGATGTGTCTGTGTGACCTTCCGATGGAGGGGCCTCTTCGATCCAGGGTCCCTCTGATGGACAGCACACCCCTCGCTGCACTTGAATGTGTCCAGAGACAGAGAACGTTTGCCCCATGGGGTTCTAATCAGAAGCTGGGAGCTGCAGATACCAAGATAAAAGGCCACCTAAGGCTCCTCTGAGTTTACAACCCCCTGGAATTCGGAATGCAGCCTTCCCAATGGAATGTCCCAGTCCTCTGAGACTGAGACACCCCTGCCGGCCCCCAATCTCCCCTGCATTGGCAGAGGCTTCTCCAGCTGAGGGTTTCTTTGGGGCCCTTTTAGGCCTCTCTGGGTAAGGCCACTCACCACCGAACCAGTCACCAGGGGTGTGTCTCCAAGAAGAAGCCCATCCAGAGAAGCCTGGGTGCACTTTGGGCTCTGCCCAGCTCCCCTCTTCTCTGGGCAGGCCAAGGACAGCTGACCACATGCTCTTGAATCTCCAGCCTCAGCCCATGCTGGGATACAGGTCTACACCCCCACAGCCAGCTTAGGCTCTGCTCTGCACAGGAGCCTTGCAGGACCCCTGGAAACCAGCTGAGCCTGAGCTCAAAGACCCAGGCCTCCACCCAGCATTCCTCAGTCTTCGGGGCTCCCGAGATCTCAGGAGATACACCTGACACAAACCGTCAGGACCGCAGGTCCTACTGAGTCAGCATGTACCATTTGTCCCTCACTTCAGTCTCTCCCTGGAGGTACAGAAGCATTTACCCCAGGCAAAGCAGACTAAGCACAGCCTCTCACAGGACAGGGCAGGCCTGTTTCCCCAACTGCCTCTCCAGCCCCCAGCTCACCCAAGCCTGAAGCACCCCCAGGAGGGCTGGTGTCTGTGTCCCCAAACCTTGCTCTCCCAACCTGCCCCTCCTTCTTGGCTCAGAAGTCCCCAAAGCAGCTTGCAGTGTCCGGGTCCCCCACTCAAGTCCTGGCTGGAGTGTAGGACTGAAAAGGAAGCACACTGGATCCTGGCCACAGTCAGAGCTGGCACAGGAAGCCGGCTGCTAACTGGGTGCCTGAGTGCCGGCTGAGGGGGGCCTGAAGATGTCATCCCTTTAGCATTCTCATTTCCGGGACTGTTACTCAGGCCCCACAAACGTGCCTTTGCCAGAGACAGCGGGCACATATTTGGGGCACATACCATGCGCCAAGTGCTGGTGGATAATGGGGAGCGGTCAGGAACGGCACAAGGCCTGAAGGTCAGACTCTCAGAGGGACAAGATATTGAGCAAACCAAGTACACAGTGCACCAGGCAGAGCCATGTGGGTACCATGTGGATACCTGGCACCCCTCTGGGCTTGCTTCACTTGCTCACTTGTCCATTCACACTTGCAGAGTGTATGGAGAACCCATTCGCCATGGCTTCATTTCTGTGTCCCAAATTTCTGCCAGGCTTGTCTGCTTGCTTTTTTCACTCACCAGAGCCTCCTCCTACCCCTCTGTTCCAAGGCTGGGTGACATGAGCTGCCACTCTCAAGTCCCAGCCTCATGCTGGCTTTTGTTTACTGCCATCTTATTGACTCCTCGAAACCTGTCCACCCCCAGTGCTGTCATCCTCACTGAAGAGCTGAGCGGGAGGACAAAGCTTGTTCAAGTCACCTGAGTGACCGCCGAAGCTGGGCTCCCAATCAGTGTTGTCTGGCTGCAGATTGGGGCTCCTTGCTTTACTGTCTCCCCAACCCCAGGCCTGAGCCTCATCTTTACCACCCCAAGACACAGTCTTCATGCTCTGTAAGGTCCTGTGAAGGAGGAAGGCGCCCAGTGGCCACTGCACTTGGCAGAGAGGGGATGGCAGGATGCCCGCATAGGGTCTTAACAGGTAGGGATACTCAGGGAATGTGTGTAGTGAATGCACACAATTCTTTCAAGTTCAGCCACCAGGGTGGAGAAGGGGCACGGTGGGGGTGTGTTTGCACACCTTCTGTGACATCATCTACTTTGTCTACATTCAGGCCCTTCTGGATTTGGTGTGGGTGCCGGAAGGGTTGCTTTTGTTGTTATTGTTGGTCATTCTTTGCTTCTTTGAAGAGGAGGGAATGTGCTGAGAGTGGAAGAAATTTAAGGTATTTAAAAATGATAGTATCTGCTGGGCATGATGGCCCACACGTGTAATCTCAGCTACCTGGAAGGCTGAGGCAGGAGGATTCCAAGTTTAAGGCCAGCTTGGCCAACTGATTGAGACCCTATATTGAAATTAAGCATTAATAATAAAAAAGGGTTGAGGATATAGCTCAGTGGTAGAGCATTCTTGGGTTCCATCGCTAATACAGAAAAAAATGATGGTGTTCATACTTTTCATTTTGCCCTGAACAATCCTGATTCCACCTTCTGATCCAGTATCATTATCAATCTTAATCACTCCCTTTTATCTCCCCAAAGTAGAATTACAGGTTGAGTATCCCTTATCTGAAGTAGTGGGACCAGAAGGGTTTGGGAGTTCACATTTTATCAGATTCTGGAATATCTGCATGAGCATAATGAAATGTCTTGCGGATGGGGCCCAAGGCTAAACACAGAACCCATTTAGGTGACACCTTATATATCAAGCTGCCTAAAGGTAAATTCTTTTTTCTGTGCTAGGGATCATATCCAGGGTCTTGGTTATGTGCAGGCAAGCGCTCTAGCCCTGAGTTACATCCCTCTACGAATATTTTTAGTACTTTTGTCCATGTAACAAAGCTTGTATACAGTAAACCATAAGTTTCGTATTTTGGAGAATTTGGGATTTCATATTTTTAGACTAAGAGTGCTCAATTTGTGCACAATCACTCAAAGTTAAATTGCTAATGCCAAGTCAGGCGCAGTGACACACACCTGTAATCCCAGCATTGTGATGGCTAAGACAGGAAGACTGAAAGTTCAAGCCCAGCCTGAGCTATTTAGTGACTCAGTGAGACCGTCTCAAAATAAAAACATTAGAAAGAGCTGGGGATGTAGCTGGGTTCAATCCCTAGTATCTACAAAACCAAAAAGCTCATGGTAAAGATCAAAATCGGGATGAGAAGACTGGAGATACAGAATATCAATGTCAGCTTCTCTCAAACTGTACTTCAACTGCTGGGCCTGGCCCTCCTGCCAGGTTCTGAGCAAGTGCTTCTGTGGGTGGGGCCCAGAAGTCTGCAGGGATGAGTCTGTCTGGTTTTGTTCTGGGCAACCTGACTGTGATTCTTTGGGGCTTCAAGAGGGAGTACACTGGGGTAAAGGAAGCCACGGCGGATCTGGTAGGAGCCTGGGAGGTATCTGGA